GTTTGAAGGGATGAACTCATGTGAAAATAAACAACCTCTCTGTATAATAGAACAGCCATAAAAGCCATTAACAGTGCTGGTTCAAATGATGGTTCACAGGAACGATTAACTGTAAATGAAGTCTTACAATCAGTGCGCTCCAGAACTGCTCTCATAGCAGCTATAAAGASGGAGATGATGCAAATGTGCTGCTTGTTTCACTTCTACAACCTTTAAGAGACACAAACTAGATCTCACACARCAGTAACGTGTAGGACCCCCACACTGCTACGGTCCGAGGGTCTGAGGTCACTCCAGACACACTACATGTTAGTAACGTGAGGCCAATCTGACCAAAACAAATAAAAAGAGGGACTGAGCGAGCCCCAACCAGCCAGCTGATTTACCGTCAGATTCAGGAACACGTTGCCCTGTGGTCCGACTCGGACCCTGCAAACAGAAACTGTGAATAAAGGGGCCAGAGAGGTGGGCCCACAACACCTCCCCTCTGGTCTGCCTCGCTCTCTGAAAGAGGCGGGGCTTAGTCCTTTTAAAGTTGTGTCAGCCAATCGACTGCCAAGAGGTAAACAGGTTACTGTGGAGCCACTCACGACACCTGGACACGTCAAAGCACCAATGACCCAGAACAGCTTTATTATTTTGAGTGGGGGTCTGTATGGGGGGTGGGGGTCCTGATGGATAGCCCTTCATCAGAACTGAACATAAATATCTGAAGCTCCTCTGTTGAACAGTTTTTTGAGTTATATGCATTATTGTATGTCCAGAAACCCCCTCTTTAGATGTAGCCCCCTCCTCAAATATGGGGTCTATCATAAAGCCGTTGGGTGGTCCAGTGTAGGTCGGACTCATCTACAGTCCTGACACATTTCGTGTTGATCGGTGCAGCTGTTTCTGTGGTACAAATGACCAAAAATCTCTGAATGAATGAACAAAAGAATAAATTAACAAACAAACAAACAAACAGTACGAACACAGTATGACCCCCGCTTCACATGCGGTGGGGGTGGGGGTCTACTCAGCGATCTTAGATTGTAACATCGGTGTCTTGTTGTTGTGTCCTCAGAGACCAGGTGTACCTCGTCAGTCTCAGAGAATCCTACAGGAATGAGATCATTCCTTACCGGGTAAGATTATTCATCACAGACTGACGGGCTGTGTGTGTGTGTCCCTAACGCACTGTGTGTGTGTGTCCCTAACGCACTGTGTGTGTTTTACAGAAGCTAACATGGCGGTCGGGCCAAGCGGACAGAGAGATGTGTGCTGTGAAGGGGAAACACAGAGTACGTATTCAAACTGTTGGTTTCACCTTCGGAACAATAAAAACCTCCAATAAACCAACTCGTGTGTGTCGATTTTCAGGACGAGTGTCACAACTTCATTAAGGTTCTGGTTCCCAGAAACGACGACCTGGTGTTCATCTGTGGAACCAATGGCTTCAACCCCATGTGCCGGTACTACCGGGTCAGTGTTTGGTGTTTTCCTAAACCTGGTGGATTTATCTCTGAGTGTCCCGGTGAGGCTGCTCTAACGTGTGGGTGATTTCTGCTTCCATCAGTTGGATAACCTGGAGTTTGATGGAGAAGAGATCAACGGTCTGGCACGGTGCCCGTTCGACTCCAAGCAAACCAACGTGGCCCTTTTTGCTGGTACGGGTCAAAGGCACAGCCACCCACGCTGAGCTGAAAAAATAAAAACTAATGTGTTTCTATTTGTGCTCTCATTATGATCTGTGTGTGTGCGTCAGTAACACTGAGCCTGCAGCCATAACAGCTCAGCCTATTAAGCTTTGTAATAGAAAAATRAAAACACACTGAAGAGCTCTGTTTGGTCTGTGATGGGTTTCTTCTCATTTTGTCTTGTTTTAGAAGGGAAGCTGTATTCTGCAACTGTTGCTGACTTTCAGGCCAGTGATTCTGTCATCTATCGCAGTATGGGTGATGGATCAGCCCTGAGAACCATCAAGTACGACTCCAAGTGGCTGAAAGGTGAGAACATTCCTCTCTTTCTGCTTTGAGTCCAGCTTCTGGAAGGTAYGCTGTCGTTTCTGTCCTTTAGCACCAGTAGATTGGACCAATGCTCCATGTATCCACCTATCTGGGGTTGAGTTTGGATGAACTGTAGGTCCAAAAGGTCTGGTGACCCTCTCCTACTTAAATATGTGAACCTCCTCAGCTGATGTTTGATGAAGAGGAGAAGCAGATCTCTGAGCTTCACTTGGACATCCTACAGAGGAAGTTCAGTTTAGCCTCCTGGGTCTAGGATCTGGTTCTTTACAACACGTTCTCACTCCCGACTCGTCACCATATTGACACTTGGTCAGGTACCGTCTGCATCCAGTTTTGACGTGTTGGGTACCCCCCTCGCTTCAGTCATTGCCGCCCGCAGATTTTCCGGGTTGCGCCACATAGGAGTCTTTGGGTTGGGGGTCTGTGGTTAACATGAGGGATCAGGGTTAATGGTTAATTTTAGGTACTGAGGTCGGGGATAGGCTGTATATGGCTAATAGAAGTTAAATTTAGGGTCTGGAACGGTTAGTTGTCATTTCCTACTCTTCAAAAATATGACAATGCACTCCTCCTCCTCCACCTCATCTCGTTAAGAACTGACGCGAGGGGTGTACCTGAAGTGTCCAAACCTGGACGCAGACAGCTACCTGACCAAGCGTCAATGTGTTGATGAGTGAGAATGGGTTGTTCTTTCAGCTTTGACAGGCCGCTCATGAACTTCTGTGAGGGTTGGAGTGTAGGTGGACCAATGAATCCAGAGTTGTGGCCCAGATCTGTTGACCCTAAAGGTRCATTGCATCGTTACCCAGATGAGTGCTGTGGCCTCAGACACCAACAGAACCACATGATCTGCAGAGAACGAGACCAGACCCTAAAGCTGGTTATTAGAGAGCTGATTCTTCAAAGAACTGTTTGGGGGGAGCTCTTTAACCKGTGCCAATCGCAGAACGGTTCAATGTGTCGTAGAGGTTTCAGCGTCGAGCAGATCGTGGCCATATGTTGGAAGAAAAGGCACCAGTTTTTTCTAAATCTTAGTTTCTCAGTCCTCCTCCATCTCCTGGACGTGCTTCTACCTGCCTGGAGTGGAAGCGCCCGTGGTGCTGAGTGTGTTCGTACGTGACTGTCAGGGCTGGTTTCAGAGAGACTCAGAGATCTGCTGCTAGCCCAACTCCTCGGGAACACGGCCCGTTCTCTCCCAGGCAATCTAGGTCACCCCTGTCATAAACTGCCTTCTACAAACCTCTAAAATATTCAACATGCACAGTGCTGGTGACGATGCAAAAATCCACTCTAACTCTCTGCCTGTGTCTCCCCCCTCAGAACCTCATTTCCTGCACGCAGCAGAGTATGGGAGTTATGTCTACTTTTTCTACCGGGAGATTGCCGTGGAACACAGCAATCTGGGGAAGGTAAGATTGTTCCTCCTGCTGTTTAGAACACATCACATATTCCTCACAAGAAGAGAGCGCAGGGCTTTTATCAAGRAAGAAATAATAAAACAGCCTTCCCGGGTRGATGTGCTGCTGCCACAAATGGGCYGGGCAGTAATGGGGTCCATTCAGGCGATGGCTTTGAATCACATCAGAATGCAGGAGAAACTCGGCCCAGTGTTTTCTGGGAATGCTTGGCTAATGTAAAACCATTACGGAGTGAAAGGATCTGCCTCCTACAGGCTGCACTCTTTGTGTCTCACTCCAACACTCAGGCAGAGGAGTGAGGCGTTCAGGGCCGGCTTCACATCGGACCGATGCCTCCTCCTGGAGCGAGCGGGCCCACCGACAGGAAGCCAGCAGGCTCCATCAGCCACCAGCTACTAAATATTTCAACCCTACTAATGCTGGGGTGACACCTGGCCTCTGATGGAGCTTTGCACTGTTCAATTATTCAAAGCGTCTTAGCCAACTGCTCCGTGCAGCTCATTTAAGCTCTGTGCTTTGGTAATTTGTGCAATCAAACACACTTTCAGACGCTGCAGCTTTAAGTAACTCKGGGCTTTTTCATCTCGTCTTTTTTATGTTTGTTTAGTCAGGGTGAACAATTTCAATCTGTGAGCAGGCGAGCGAGCGAGCGTGGACTCGTTCGTGCCGMGCTGCTCCAGAACGGAGTTATTTATTATTCAGCATGTCGGAGCTTTTTCCGTGGCGCTCACTGGGAAGCCTGGCTCTCTGCGACCCCTCTCAGGTGGTGTACTCTCGAGTGGCCCGGATCTGTAAGAACGACGTGGGAGGGTCTCAGCGGGTGCTGGAGAAACACTGGACGTCCTTCGTGAAGGCCAGGCTGAACTGCTCCGTGCCGGGGGAGTCCTTCTTCTACTTCGACGTGCTCCAGTCCGTCACTGACATCATCGACATCAACGGCGTCCCCTCGGTGGTGGGCGTGTTCACCACGCAGATGAACAGGTCAGAACGCGCCCGTCAGACGGGTTTCACTGAACCGCTCTCAACATTAATGCTTCTTCTTCTTCTCCGTGTCTCATCCTCACAGCATCCCAGGCTCGGCCGTCTGTGCCTTCTCCATGGCCGACATAGAAAAAGTCTTCTCAGGGCGCTTCAAGGAGCAGAAGACCCCCGACTCCGTCTGGACCCCSTTTCCAGAGGAGAAGCTGCCCAAACCCCGGTCAGAACCCGTCTGCCTCACTTCAGACCAGATATATTATCAAGTATTTTGATCAAATGGGACTTTAAGGAAATRTCAAGTTTAAATTTCAACATCTAACTCACAAAGACTGCATCACAGCTCACTTCTAYCCTGGAAAATCTCTCTTGTATAAAGTACCTCAGAGTGATAGTTGAGTCTAAGTACAAGTATATTATCATGRAATTACTTTGGTAAAAGTTAAAATCTCCTCTAAAAATATTAATTAAGTAAAAGTCTTGAAGCATCTGATTTTTTKTRYAYA